CCCATAGATCCCAGACGGCAAGCCACTGTTTTCCCAGAATCCTCCAGGTGGCCTCCTTCTTATCAAGAACCTATGAGGTCCTCCCAGTATAAATATGTCGCCATGCCCTCTTCCATCCCTGTCCCCCAGTACCAGCACTGGCCAGGATCCAGAGCAGACATCATGAGGCACATGGAGCCCAGCAGGGGCCCCCCGAGGTCCTACCTGCCCCGGGGCGTCAGCTGGCCCTCACCTCACTACGCCCCCTTCCCCCCCAGAGAGGCAGAGAGTTACAGACAGCCAGACAGGGTGATGAGGAGGGGAGGGGAGACAGACATACGGGAGGGGGGAAGGACCAGTTATGCCAGTCAGAGCAGTGGGAGGGGTAGCGCCGGGCTCTTCCGTCAGTCCCTGTCCATCACCCCCACGCTGCTCAGCTCCCCCGAGACCACGGAGGAGGGCGAGCGGCACCGAGCGGAGACGGAGCTTCCTGAGAGGAGAGCCAAAAGGTGAACCATCACCACAGCTGGAACAAAACCACCAAGTCACTGGAGTGTCCTCTGGGCAGGGATTAATTTGTGTTGCCAAAATAACTTTCATTTTGTTTCGGTAACACTTTTTATGCCTCGTGTTTTAAGTGAATTATAAACATACTTAGAATGTGTTGTAATCTGCCTAAGGCACCTTAGATGTATAGCTATAAGCATTCATAAACCTTTAAACTCACTATTAGATTATTAGGCATTTTATAATGGTTTATAAGCTCAAGTATTATAATATTTAATGGCTGCTGGTCACTTGTGTGTGCTGTTCTTGGACCTTTAACAGATTATAGTGATTTACAACCAGCTTGTGATGCAGCATATGTACTTTACTTAAAGCACCCAATGACCAGAGAATAGAATAATCACTGTATAATCCCTTATAACAGTGGTAATCATATATAAAGTCAATTTAATTATAACTCCCATAACAATTGGATTGGATTGGATTATTGGATGAACAGACAAAATGCCAATTTTAAAAAGCCATTGTGAAGTATTAGATTGACCTTTTGATTCATTATAAAATACTTTATAACATTTTGTGATTATTGTTATAAATTATGAATGTGCACAAATGCTTATACTTACTTAAACACCGCTAAAAGCATAATAATGTATTTGATAACGCATTATAACATGAGGCGTTGTAGAAAGTGTTACCTTTATTTCCTGTTTGTGTCTGCTGTTATCTGACCGGTCCTGTGTCCCATCAGAAGGAACACGTCAGTAGATGAGAGTTATGAGTGGGACTCTGCTGATGCGTGTGTGGACTCGGAGGTCCTGGAGGCCATGAGGTTTGATCAGTCGCACACGGGTTCACGGAGATGCCGGTCGGAACTCAGATATGATCAAACCGCTGGCCTCCGGGACGAGCGACAGAAAGGTAAACACTCCCCCTCTCCACCTCCTCAGTGTGTGCTGCGTGTATTCGATGTTGCATGTGTCGTTGCGAGTGTAATGCTCGATGTGATGGTGCTGCATGTGTTCACCCTGTGCCCATCCATGCATTCCTCACCCCAATGCTCCCCCCTCCCCCAGGCCCGTGTCCCTCAGTCAGCCCGCCAGTTTCCAACCCACCTCTCCAGCTCAGCCGCTCCCTCAGCGAGGCGCGCTTCAACGCCCTGCGGCAGGAGTACCAGCAGTACAGGCAGGCTCAGGGGTCCTCGTGTTCCCGGGGGCCCCGCCTCTCCCACGACTCAGACTCTGACTCCAGCTCAGCGCTGCTCTAGCAGATTCATCGGTCCGTTGTTCCTCATTCCCTCTCCTCTCTTCCCTCTCTTTTCCTCCTTTCACTGCTCGCCTGCCTGCCTGCTTCATTTTCTTGCCTGCTACTGTGTCATCCATGTTCGGTGAATTTGTGCATGCCAAATATCATACTGCTTAATTTATCGCTTTTTTAACCTTGTCCTTTGAAGGTTGTTTCTCTAATGCTGTACCATCTTTCTATTACAGGTTTATCTCAGACAGATACCAAAAAGCAGACTTAAGTAACAGAAGACATCCCTCTGGTCCTGGACAGTGTCACCTCACTGGAACTCTCATGTGAAATAACTCATTGTCTAAAGTTGTTTTCTTCTGTTACAGTAGCCTATAGTAAAGACATTTAAAGAGACGGCACCATATGCAGCATGCCATCAAACTTCAACTCCTCGGTTGTTAACAGATGACATTTTCTTTTTCTTATACTTGTTCCATTTTGCTTGGAATAATCAAACTGAGAAGGGATTATTTATTTTTCTAAGAAGCTTGTGCATTTTGGGATTGTCTTTATTTTTTCAAACCTTGACAATCAGGCACACAGGGCCCTTTGAGAAATGAAATGCTCACCCCACCCTAAGGCAGGTTTACAGTTACAAAAAGACAGTTACATAATGCAGGTTGTATTTCAAGTTTATTTCTGTATCAAATTGAAGACTTCCCTTTATTCACAAAGGGATGCTAAGGACCATTATGTAGGTCTGTCTAAAAAAGCATCTGTTTGTGGAAATGTCTGTCTGTAATGATAATCAAACAGTGCTCTAAACATTTTTAACACAACCTCCCTAGGAATACCACAGAAGTACTAATAGTACTCACATGATTAAGCAACCCTGACTTTCGTACTTTGGTAAAAAAAAATCAGATCAGTTCATGATAAACTTCCTGTTACCTCAAACCATAATTTTCTCTATTTAAAAGAAGAATTTGTTCGTTTTTTCCTGTTAGTTCCCTGAAGCATTTCCTGTTTTATACATATAGTTCACAATAACGTTCCACTGTCAAGCCTTTATAAATGAAATCACTTTATATAGTTCCCAGTATTTGTTAAAAATGTACAAATGTTTATATGTACCTAATGTGAACCCTGCTGTGTATATTCCTCTTCACCATGTCATCGGATGAGAAAATGCTACTTTACGCCACCTGAATCAGTCTAACCTTCCCTCTGTGATTAGATGACAGATACAGTAACACTTGAACACAGGGAAAATTATTTTTGCCTTATCTTTGTTAATGTCACAAGCACACACCAGTAGATTGACTACCGAAGGTTAAAAACCTAAAATTATTGAAAAGTTGTTCCTTTTTTACACGTTTTGCTCTCTTGATGAGTATTTCTGTATATTTATGAAGGTGAGTTATGATATGCAACAATGTTTACACTTCATTGATGTGAAGGCAACACTGTGAATTTTCCATGGACTTCTGATTCTGTATTTGAATTGCTGTGAAGTCTCTAATGAATTTCATGCCCATTACTTATTTTTTAGTTTGAAAGCTGTTTTTTATTGCGACACCTGACAAAAAGAGATCCAAAAAGTATCTTTGTAGCTAAGATTAAAGATTTGTACTATATTTACATAAAGAACCCAGACGAAAGTGTTCATATGGAGTGGGTCTGCATTTCTGATGATGGTTTTGGAAGTTTTTGTACAAACTAGAACATTTTATATCTTGCCACCTGGTTGTTTTTGTCATTTTTATATGTTTGTAATGAATAAATTGTTTTATTCTGAATTCACCCAACTGAAGAGATTTGTTGATATTTACAGTATTATGAGGAAAAGCATTTGACCGTGAACACACTTGCTCTTTTACTTGTGAAGTTAGCTAGTTAAAGAGGCCCTATTCTGCCTTTTGGGCTTTGCCATGTCCTATAGTCTGTAAGTTTTTGTTGTTTGCAAAGGCTAAATCCCAAAGCACACCCCCCAGAAACGTCTCCAATGGACTCATTAGTTTACTTCTGTAACATAAGTACATCACACTCGCGCATCTAATGGGTAGCACTCCAACACATCGTACATAGGCTAAGGGGCGGGACATCTCTAAGCTGTTGACCAATCACAACAGAGCTAACCAATCAGCGCAGACTGGGCTCTGGTTTCTGCTGCAGCACAGTCAGTATATGAACAATTACAATTTACCTTGAGTGGAAAATGTCTGTACCAACATTCAATGACAATTCCTCCAAGATATTTTTTAAAGCCTAAATGTGAAACAGCTAACACGTTCTTAAACATCGTCCTGTATTTCAACATACTCCAAGCACTGAGTCATGTCTCCAGAGACGAGTCCTAGGTTTGACAGACATTTCCTTTAAATGTCCATCAGACTGCTGATTATTTTAAGAATTTAGTGGGGGTGACCTAACGTCCTAAAAGTAATTCAATATTTATTTCTTAAGCTAAATTATTTAGTTGTTCCCACTTAAAAGCTGCAAGCATGTAAGCATTTCAAATTCATTTCAGTTTTGGGACACTGCGTGTGACGTCATATTGCGGGCACATGCGTGTTACATACAATGCCGAGGCTGACGCATGTTATCAATTTAATGCAACGGATTATTCTGAGTTTACAAATATTTTTCAAGTTGAAGTTTTTGAAACTCGTCTTAATGAGCGGGCAGTGGGTTCACTCAGCATGATAACATTTGCCCATCTGACTAAAAACCAATATCCTTTTTAACAGTGCACCGTCTAATTCTGAATTTGCATAATTCTGCGTTGAGTAAAACTGTTTGTGTCCACAGTACTAACAAGTTACAGTATATATCCCCATTAATGCAGCCTAAATGACACCAAGGATTATGCTTTTGCAAATTGTATGTACTGTAGTGCAATGTTTTTGTTTGTTTTTTACGATTCCAAAGCTATAATGCTGCTGCAAAACGGACAAAAGATCCGAATCAATTATAATTTTACTGCTGCTACCCTTTAGTTTACAGGGTCATTCAGTGATAGCTTTAATAAAAGGGTTTTCAGTTGTGTTTGGATTACTGTTACATAAGTGTGAGAAGATGCCTTTCAAGACTAAAAAGAATATGTCTATAGAAGTTTTAAATATGATAGTAGTAGATAGTAACCCATGAGCCCCTCGGATGTGTAGATATCCTCTCTGTAAATGTGTACATACAAACCAATACAATCAATTAAACACAACAAGCCATTTGCTTTTCAATTTATGGATTTATATTTTTCCAGGTAAGAATTCATTACAGAGGTGTACATCACACGTCGACACCAACTTCCTTATTTTTCAGGCTGAAAATGTCACATCACTTGGTTGACATACGCATGACATGTTTGACCATGTTTCCAATGCCATCAAATATGTAGTGGTAGTGATACTCCGTTTCCCACATGAAGGACGGGGTGCTGACCACCTTGTTCTTCTCATCCACGAAGGCTTCGTAAAGAAAGGGTTAAGGTCAAAGCAGGAGTCGTTTTAGAACATACACAAGGAAAAAGAGTTACACAAATTATAGCTTGGAAGGTCATTTGAGGTTTGATAATCTACATACATTCACGTCTTGATTTATTCAAAAGCTTACATCTCATGTGACCAAGGGACTACAAATCAATGCAGGATTGTTTAACTACACTGTAAGGTCACACCTATTTTTATGTTATGTTAGAAATATTGAAAATAACATTCATTTTGTGCCATTTGTCTTTAATTTAATGATGGTTCCTGAATTAAACCCTTTGGTAAATAGCAATGGCTTGGATTTGAGCCTACTGTCCTTTGAGTGCAGTCAGACTGTGAAACTGAGTAACAAGACAGAGTGAATGTCTGTCAAATACATTCAACCTAAAACTTGCTGTAAACAAAGAATCCAAAGGCTGAGAAGAGTTAAGAGCTTTCTTAGGGATTTCTGAAAGGATATATATGGCTCGCGGACGTTATGGCGAGCGCCCATGCTCTTCACGGCCTGCACCATGTTGGTGTGGGGCCAGTTCCCCCAGCGGGTGTTTTCGTCCTTCTCGTAGCCCATGGTCACCTCGATGCTGGGCAGCACGCGGCAGGCCAGGACCGAAGCCATGCTGGCCAGTCTGAAACAACAGCACACAAAACGTTTTTATTTAATAAAGATAATGAGGAAAGACTGATCTGGTTGTGTCAAGCTAAGTGGAAGGGCCATACTTATAAAATGTATATTACTGCTGGCTTGATTTTCAGCTTTATTATCATAATTTCCCTATTAATTAAACCACATTAATGGACAGACAACAGCCCCCTTTAGGAAAAAACATGAACAAATTACTATCAAAATCAGGGATAAGTCAACTCATTCAGTAAGAAGAGAAATAACTATTTATGTGTGTTCAATATTAACAGCTCTGATAAAACAGAACCATTGAGAGTTTGTATCTATCTGCATTAGCATGTAAATCACAGTAATAGTGGAACTACATTGCACAACAATGCCCATGTTGCACATGCTGAATTGTTGTTCTCAATAATTGTTGACTGTATTTTCATTATGATATAATTCTCTGTAAGAATGATTTTGTATGGTTTAACTGCAATGGGAAAGAACTACACATGTATTAGCTGCTTCATCCTTTTCACCCTTCCTCTCTGCCACACACTCAACTCTTATAAATACTTAAATCCTACATTTCCTATCACCTCAGACCTGCTGTCCTGCACGTGGGCACCAGGTGTCCGCTGACCTGACCCTGTCAGCCGTCTGCTCCATATACTGTATGGAGCAGTATGACCTGCTCATGACGCTGGTACTTCACATGGACCAGTAGTAGCCAAAGGATCACTCACAGGTCAAATACAATTGATCATGTCCTGTTTGATTAAACGCTCAGGATTTGCCTGGACTGACTTCCTTCATGTTGAGCCTTCCTTACGGCAGACATTCTTCCTAGTGCTGTGTCAGTGAGAGCCAACATGGAGGCTTACTTCAGAGGGTCTCTTCAGTGGTGCATCAACTGCTAACAAATAACGCACTTTCTTGTTTTTCACAGAATTTCTTTGGTAGACTGTAAAATATTTTTATTTTACTTTACTTTATTTATTTCCTAACTCCACTTTATGTATTTAATGTTATGTAGATAATTTTATGTATAATATTTTTCAGACATACCATTTTGTAAAATAAGTTAGATTTTGGGATATTCACAGAAATATTATTGGCAGAATTTATTTATGTGCGACAAAAGTCAAATGTATTTTCCATGAAACACTTAAACTATGAAAGTAAAATAAATTCAGATCATTCCAGCAGGTCTAATGAAAATAATAACTACTGACAGTAATAGCATATATTTGATACAAACTTAATAAATGCTCAACTTTTAGAAAATGTGTAAATTACAAGAGGGCCCTTTATTTCTATTTACTTATCTACATCTATAGACACTCCAGTATTTGTTGTCTGATCTTTGTCTTTTCTCCTATCTTGTGTGTTGACCTAGTTTATGCATCCAGTGTATGTCTGAATGTAATCTTCTATAATCTGATTTAAAGTGCGGTAAGAATCAGTGACACTTGATGCATGAAGGTTAGTCTTGAAAAAGCCACAATGTCACATTGCTGCCCTGTTGAATTAAACTATTGCTTGTTGAGTTACAAAGTATTGCCTGTTTAGTAATGATAGATTTAACCAACAGATACATACCCAATAGGCTTGCGAGAGCGGTGGAAGTCTTTCAGCACCTTATCCACATCACCTTGCAGCTTGCAGTCTTTTCCATCCTTCGCAAAAGTGGATCTAAACAGTTGACAATAATAATATAAGTCCTCATTCTTCATCGTGCCAGATTTGTACATTATCTCCCTCCCTATTTTACTTTATACAGTCACAAAAGAAATACTTGAAACTTGATTAATCCTCACAGATTCTTGATCATGCCGTGGCCTCCGGGAAAGATAACGGCATCAAAGCTGTTGACGTCCAGCTTGGACAGATCTTGCATTTGCATCATTCCCTGACCGTGACTGAAGCGAGCCGACTCCATCATCATGTTCCTATGTGAGGGCCAGAAATAATCATAAATACTACCTTGTGGAATGAATCAACCCAGGTGTATAAATACACAGCATTAAACAAGCCAATGTGAGAGTATATCAGTGTCTCCTAACAGGCCTACCGGTTCTCCCCAGAGCCCGGCTGCTTCTTCATGTGGTCCATCACGTGCATCTGCTGCTGGTTCGGAGCAAACATCTGGAAGCGAGCACCGTTACGGCTCAGGTGGTACATGGTGCTGAAGACAGAGTTGTAAATTACCTACTGTACATTACGATGTATGTTCATGCAATGATTCGGAAGTACTACTTACTATACTCCCTCATGGACATCAGTCCCATCCCACCAGCCACATCCTGAGAAAACCTGCGTTTCATCGTCATGCACACATCATAAACCAGCCCACATTTATCATTTGTATACTTTTTGTCTCTAATCAATTTTCACTTACCACTGCAATATTGGTATTTCCCCAATTGCCATGATCACCATGGTGGACAAAGCAGGCCGGCTGGCGAGCGACAACAGCCAGAGTTTGTTTTGACAGCAGAGTCCTGGATGCCTGCATGATTTTGCCTTAGTCTCACTGTTTCAGAAAGAAAGTGTAACTTAAGTTTGCCACAGAGCCTGTAGAGATTTCAATGGTAGTAATATTGTTCTCGCTGTGCCTGTATATATACCGTCAGAGTGTTAGTAAGTGACGTTACAACGTAAGCTCCACTTTGTCAGAAGCTCCTTGGCCTTGACCAGCCCTGAAAACCTTTCCCTATTATTACCTTGTTATTTCATCTAATTAAATTAGGAGATTTGGCAAGCGATACTTCAGCTTTAGTCATTTTAAACATGTAGTGCTTTAACCCATGAAATATGTTCACCCATTTGGCATTTAGATGGAGAAACTTGCAGAAATAATGCAACAGGTTTTGAATCTAATATCATGTATTAGGCCAGTTGGCTAGTTATAATATTTAACAAATAGCTTGCATGGGGATTTCTGAAAATGCTTGTTTTTTGTTATTATAAAAAGGTAGCAGTAGGTTCAATGTCTTTGTATCGTACAAGGCCTAGTGTTTGCCCTTTAAAGTCTATTAGGTTGTAAGGCTCTTACTCTTTAATGCCATTTTGCGTCTAGACAGGAAACCTGAAAATACCCTGGTCAGGACGCCGGAAATGTCAAAGTCTATATACGGTTGATTTTAAACTATTAATCCTTACTCTAGGCTGCCTTTGGTGGAAGACTTTTAACCAGTGAAAGACAAGGTTCATTGTAAAGATCGCAAGCATGAGGCAACATATGGCATTATATTTTATTATGACCACTTTTTATGTAGAAACCATCAATATTTACATACTGGGGATGAAAAGTGTATGAGAATTTGAAGAACGAAATGCAGAAATGGAGTAAACAGAACAATATACAACCAACTAGTCACCACATCAATCACGTTTTAAGCCTCAGTCAGCACCCTTTGTGAAGTGTTCTCATAATCATTGTGCCTGTAGGGTTTAAAATGTGCACGAGATAACTCTTGCATTAAAAAAAAAACCACATACTGAAACGGTCACATATGATAATCACAAAGAAGAAATCATATTTCTTTTAAAAATCAAATACAAGAAACAAGACACAACCAACATATGAGATGAGGTTCCCGTTACTAAATGTCTCTCATTCTGAAACAAACAGACATGTTTCTCAATTTTTCTCTGTGGCTGCTAGCTTTCAAAACACAACACTTGCCATTGTCCTTTTAAAAAACACCACTAAGACAGGGCTCACATATTTAGACAATTATCTTGTGTTATTTCAAGTAAAGCTGTGACTAAGTAAGACTAAACCAGTGACATCAGGTGCCTACAAAGCAGAAGAATGAAAAAGAAGACAGCACAGAAAAAGAAATAATAAATAAGGTCCATACTGATATTTATATGAAAGACATGTCTAAAACAATCTCAGGGTATTTCCGCATTTTTAATGTATCAGAAAAATAAAATCATATACACGGCAAGCTTATCGAAAATTAAAACAAAATTATGCTTAACAAAGCTTGATCCAACCAATCGGCCGACAGCCCGGCCACAATAATTGGTACTGATCAGGCTGGTGCGGTTTCATCAATTACTTAGGATGAGCCATGTTGAGCCCTCCTTGCACTTTTAGTTTCCTTTACATGTAAGAACCAAATCCTAAAAGCCATTTACATGCAAATCACTTACAACTTCAGTGGTGAGACATCATCATCTTCATCATCATCATCATCATCATCATCATCTAAATGTCTGCCACCACTACAGAAAGCTTTCATGCACCCAAGCTGTCAGTCAATAGTGTGTGCACTAACTGTGCACACTGTGTTCATTATGGAGAGTATTTGCGAAGATATCCTTTTGATAAAGAGTGGGATTTGCTCATCAAGCCAATAGCCGTGCTGAGAGAGAAGCAAGTGTTAACAAGGCCTGTCTGGCAGCATTAGGGCGTGTAGGCAGGCGGTGGCTGAAACTGATTGGCAATGTCATAATCAGCAGGAAAAGTTTCACTGCTATCCTCCATCTCCGAGAGCAGCTCTAAAGCCTGCTCCTCTTCCTCGGTGGGGTAGTGGCGCAGTAGGTTGGCAGCTGTGGCGAGGATAGAGGCTCCACCTGCCCCTGCCACTAGGTAGAAGCTGATGGCAAAAGTGACGTATATGAGTGAGCCGTGGTACTTTTTGTGTTGCTGCTGTAGTGACAAGATGAGCTCCGAGGCCCAGTAGCAGAAGCCTATGACGGTGGCACACTGCAACACTGATGAGAGACAAAGAAAACAGATAAGAAACCAACAATGAACATTGTTATGCCTTTTCTTTCAAACAAAAATGAGAAAAGCCTCAGTATGACAGATGAATACCTGTGAGAATATGTGCAAATGCATATCTTCGTGTGATCTTCAGGGCGGGATGCTTGGGTCCAAACACGTCCAAGAGAAAAGCAGTCAGGCTGCACAAGATGCCCAGGAAACAGAAGGCGGCGATCACCCTCATCAGCAGGATGGTCTGCGGGTTCACACAGTAATCTGGAGGACAAAGAGACATCACAAAGCATTTAAAAGATGTCTACAGATGAGTCTCTGCCAGAGGTGTAATGCACTTGTTCTTGTCCTCACCGTCCAGCAGCTTGGGGTCAATGTACCCCAGGACGTCCGCCACCCCCAGCTCTTGTCTCTGACAAGTGCCCCCGTGGACCCGGAGCCAGGCCGGCTCCGCCAGAGCCGTACACAGCGCGGTGATGGACAGAGCTCCGGGCAGAGCCGACACCAGGCTCCGCTCCGGCTGCTTGGGCAGGGAGGAGCCCCCTCTTCTCCTCCGGCCTCCAGGAACAGCTGAACCCGGCGGGGCATACATGCTCATCCGATCTCCTTACTGTAGTGTCTGATTCCCTTTTATTGACAGAAAAAGCGACTGTACTACTCGACCCGTTGGTAAGGTTACCCAATTGACTGGCCAAAAATAACAACTGTTAGCCGGTACAGCTAACGTTACCTGGGCGACGAACGGATGACAGCGGCCTTTGCGCTATGTCCACTGTGTTATTTAATGTTTCCAAACGACGTTTTACCTTAAAACTATCTGCTTGATATAAAGAGGAGATGTATTTCAGTGACGGGCAAACAATGGACAGAGGCCTTCAGGCCTGTTAGCTATGTTGTTAGCCTGTGAAGCTAGCTCACAGCTAACACTAAATGTCGACAACTGTCATTAAAAAATAAACTTAATAGAAACAAATCAGGTGAACGATAACGTATTAATGAATCTAGCAGACTGCTCTGGAGAAAATTACGATCAGTTTGATACAGAAAACATAGACAAAACAAAACAAAAGGAAGCTTACGCTGGCTTCCTGTAAAATATTAACTTCCGTGTTCAACACATTCTTCTTCGTGGCTTCAATGAGCTACGGTCTGAACGCGAAAGTGGATCAATGCTTCCACCTACAGGCGACACAGATCACACACAATTATTTATGTTTTCATATTAATTGCGCTCTTATATTGATGGGAACTTGGGGGTCTATACACATGCACAGACGGCAGGACGTTGGGGTAGATCAATTATTGCCAAGCAGTACACGTTTGACCTTGGGCATCAACAGGTATGGGCCTAACCGTGAATGTAAGGGCAAAACAAATTCACTCAGAGCTCCTTTTTTGTAAGAAATTTGGAGACTTTTTGTATTAATGACCCATGCTATTTAGAAAATTATACTCCATCAGATTATCATATCAGTCATATCACCTCCAGGTGATCATTGAGGTGGGGGTGATCATGGGCCTCAATGAGAGAGCAGAAGAATACCTGGAGTGGATTTTCCCTTTAGTTACTTCTATATCCACAGACCTGATGGCTCTCCTTGAAGAGAGCCATGCTGTTATGGGATGGAAGAAATAGATTTTGGTCTGGATGCTTTTTTTAATTTATGATTGTTAATGCAAAACATCATGGTCTTGTTTAAAAGGCAAATATATAATAATGATTATGTTTGCAATCTGTTGTACTTTACATCAGTCTGTAATGTAGGCCTATATCTTACAGTGGGCTTTGTTATATCATCCAGGCATATATTTAATAAAAATCAACATTTTCTTTAATTGCCAAATTTTATGTTTTGTGTGTCGCGTGTATGATTTTTATTTTATTTTGGAGAATTTAAGAAAACATTGAAGTAAGTAAAATGTCTACATCAGTTTGTAAAAACAGTAAATAAATAAAATAAAAACTATTTTAGAAAACTAGATGCATATAAACCGTCTTTGATAACATATTAGTGCATCAATAATTATAATAAAAACATACAGTATATATTATTCTGGAATCGGCATATCTGCATACTGAGTACTTTCTAACTTTTGGTACTTTAAGCATTTGTTGACGCTTATACTTTTGTACTTTTACTTGGATAACATTTTGAATGCAGGACTTTTACTTGTAACAGAGTATTTCTACACTACGGTACTTCTACCTTTATTCAAGTACAATATCTGAGTACGTCTACCTATCACCTTGGTTGAACTTGTGTGACTAATCTATAAGAAATAAGTCTACTGCAAAAAAAAAGAAAACCCCCACAATGCATCGCGTAAAGCACCGGATGAGCAAAGATGGCGGCATTTCCGACATCGTTGTTTTTGTAAACTGTTGAACTTTGTTCTTTTCTGCAAATACAGTATTTTAAAGAAAATCCTCTTCAGGTTTATATGTGTTATTTAGGACAGTCACATCGCTAGTTTGTGTGGGCTGTTACAGTGCGTGGTGTCGTCTGTGTATCTGTCCGCTGCTGTCAGTGAACAGCGGGTCTGATATTTAAAGTAACCAGAAAGCGTCCCTCAGCCCGGTCATGAAGCCGTCTCTGACTCCGGTCCAGAAGCTGGTCGCCCACCCGGACTCCCGCTGCTGGTTCGTCAGCTGGAACCCGACTGGGACCTTGCTGGCCTCCTGCGGGGGGGACAAGGCCATCCGGATCTGGGGACTGGAGGGTGAGATCTCGTATAAGCCTGAATTATTTTTTCATTACATTTAAGATAAGATATACTTTATTGATCCCAAATTGGGACATTGTTTCGTCTCAGCAGCATGATAAAACAAGGCATTACACATAATGTGAAAATGAAAAAGAGTAGAAAATAAACATTAAATATAAACATCTCAATAACTAAAAAGATAAAAATCTGTATGCTATCTGACTAATAAACACTAAGAAGGGGCCAAATTACGATGCTTTCATACTGAATACACAAATAATGACATTACAATAAATAGAATAAGGTACAGTTTGACAGGATATACGGTTTACTTGTATCCCTACAGAAACCAATTTTATAAAGTAGTTTATATGATCTACTTATAGTTAATATGAATAGGAGGAAATATAAGCCTGTGTTTTGGATACATATTATATTTGAATTTGTATCACCTTTTGTATTTTGTATTTATTTATCTTCTCTTATTCTTCTTTTAGTTTGTATGTGTGGCCATGGTGTGAATAGTTTTAATTATAAAAGGTATGGGTTTATTTTTGATGGCTGACCCCCTTCCTGACCTTCTCTCTGTGTAGGAGACTCTTGGGTTTGTAAGACTGTGCTTCAGGACGGACACCAGCGCACGGTGAGGAAGGTGGCCTGGTCTCCCTGTGGGAAGTATCTGGCCTCTGCCAGCTTTGATGCAACCACATGCATCTGGAAAAAGAAGAACGATGACTTTGAGGTTAGATGAGATCTTTAGTTTTCACTTTGATTGTGCTTTACATTTTGTTGACTTAACTCAGAGTTTTATACATTCTTCTAGAGTTTGACAGTGTTGGAGGGACATGAAAACGAGGTGAAGTGTGTGGCGTGGGCCCCTTCAGGGAACCTGCTGGCAACATGTAGCCGAGACAAGAGTGTCTGGGTGTGGGAAGGTTTGTGTTCATACCTCAGGTGTATTATTTCATCTAATTCATAGCACGAAATCAACAAACCTCCGGATCCGTGCCTGTCTATCTGTTTATGATGTATTGACCTTTGCGTTTCACAGTGGATGAAGAAGACGAGTATGAGTGTGTAACCGTTGTGAACTCTCACACACAAGATGTCAAGCATATCGTGTGGCATCCAAACCAGGAGGTAGGTCACCCTCTGCTGTATGAACTGCAGCTGCATGATAAAAGAAAAACATGAAACGACAATATATAATGTTTACTGAATTAAAAAATATTTAAGGAGTTTATTTCTAATATGATTTAATTGAACATATTGAACTTAAAACAAAAGGCCCCAATACAAAAACAATTTATTTTTAAAGTGTGATTTCCTACTCAAGCAACTAACTCAAAAAAGTCTCAGAGTGCATTATCAAAGTGTAATGATGATACAAAAATATATTTATTTTGTTTTACTGTCTTAATGTGTTGCTCCATTATCAAATGATTTGCCATGTGTTCGTACAGCTCCTGGCTTCCGCTAGCTACGACAACAACATTTGTATTTACAAGGAGGAGGACGATGACTGGGAGTGTAAGGCCACGCTGCAGGGACACACCTCCACAGTCTGGAGTTTGGCGTTCGATCCGTCTGGACAGCGGCTCGCCTCCTGCAGCGACGACCGCACCGTCAAGATTTGGAAAGAGTCTCCAAACCAAAGTGAACTGGGTGGGTTGATAGTGATAGTTAGCATTATGCTTGTTTAAAATCCCATTAACAATTTAAACTAGTCGGTCAACCATTGAATTAGATATCATTTTATGTTGAATATTGATGAGAGTTTTGTGAGTAAAGAAGCTCACATAATCCCATAATTTGCCATGCGATTTAATTATTCATGCAACATGGCATCTTTTAGCTCTTTTTGACAACCCAATCAAATATCAGACAGGTCCAAAGTTAAACATGTGTGTTGTGAGTTTCCACATGAACAGAGGTCTTTTTATCTGCAGTTAAAAGCAGCCACACTAGATATGTTTTGTCAACTGTGTTATTTGTGATGAATAATTTGATTTATCATTTTTTGCACTTCTTTGTCAAAGTAAATGACATGTCTTTTGATACGTTAACATTTGCTAGTTTTTTATGTAACATATTTTCTCCCTGCTTTGCATGTTGAACAGGAGACTTGTCGTGGAAGTGTGTTTGCACTCTGTCTGGGTTCCACGGACGAACGGTGTACGATATCTCCTGGTAAGACCTGTCTCTATTTTATTTATTGTACAACTCATTTAATCAAAGCCTCTCTTTCTCTGCCATGTCGTGGAAAACTATATATTTATTTCACCACAGATATAATCTTGATAACCTCAAGAAAGATGTGGCATTTGAGGGTCTAGAAACTTAAAGGTAGGGTAGGTAATTCACTTCAGAAACACTGTTATATTCCATGGAATGCTCTTAACATCCCGATAGCAATGAATAAATTAAATGCTTTGACAACAAATATTTCACCTGTGGAAGCCGTAGCGCTGTAAAAAGCTAGTCCAATTATCTGCCCCGACCCGCGGCAGATAATTGGATGGCCTACCTGCCTTCCATCTCGTGCCCTCATTGGTCATGTGCGGGTTTGTGTGTGTTGGAGGAGGGGCTCTGTAAGGAAGTGGCAGATTTGTTTTTCGGTTGTGTATTTTCAAATTCTAGCTTACTCGAGCTGGTTTCTCCATTCTTACCTACCCCACCTTTAAAGGTTTAGTTGAGTTACAGAACTTTCTCAGTTCAAGGAAATACATAAAGAGGCAGGTAATCCAATTTGATCACTTGTTCAATGGGGCATGGCACTAGATTTTTCCTTTCTTATTTTACTGTTAGTATTCGCTAAATAATTGTTAACGACACAGTATTTTTCGCTTTTTCTTTATATTAAGCGAGTCAGGCAAAATAACATTTGTTATCTTCTCCTTGCTCCTACAAAAATAAAATGTGTAAAACACGCTCAGTCTGACTCATATTGTTGCAGATGGTGAATTGACACAGGTAATAATTGTCATCATCAATGGGCATATCAGCTGCACTCTGTGAGAATAAGTTATGTAAAACTTCCATTAAATAAAACGATATAATTTAGAAAGCATATTGATATTTACAGGAATGTGGGTACTTGTGGGTTATCTGTTGCTACTTTTTAGTAGCTGGCTCCTCCACATGAACTTTTCCTTTCTCCAAATAACAAACATTAATCCTAGCGGTTGTTTAGAGTTAAAAAAAAAAAGAATGTGGCGACACATAACCCACAAGTACCGGAATTAGTCCGCTCATTAGAATAACCTTTCTCTGTACTCAGGTGTCGGCTGACAGGCGCGCTGGCCACTGCCTGCGGGGACGATGCAGTGAGAGTGTTCATGGAGGACGAGACGGCTGACCCAGAGCAGCCGGTGTTCTCTCTCGCTGCTCAGGTGACCAGAGCTCACAACCAGGACGTCAACTGTGTGTCCTGGAACCCCAAGGAGGCGGGACTCCTCGCCTCCTGCAGCGACGACGGAGACATCACCATCTGGAGGTTTCAGCCAGAAGACTGACTCACATGAAGCTCACACTGAACACATGTTGTCGCTAGCAACACTGGGAAATGTGGTCCCCGCCATGTTGTGCATTCCACGTTACAGCTCGTTTGGCAGTATTACAGTGCTTTAACACGTCATGTCTGCTTCTTATTTGATAATAATGCTTCTGCAGATCTGCTTTGTGAGTCTACATATTTCTTTAAAAGCTTTATTGATATTTCATGTTTATATAAATAAATGATTAAAAACAATTGTTTGGCTTCTCTTTATTGCAAAAAATATTCCAGACATCACATCATACTAAAAACATTTAGACCAGTCTAAGAATTACATTTCGTAACAAACAAAAAGACCAAAAATATAACTGGACAGTTTTTCCTTTGCATTGATCGACCCAATTTAGAATAACAGCATACTATCATCTTTAGAATTGTTGGTTATTTTACCGATCTTTAACAGTTTCAGTCAAACATTAAACTGACGTCAGATCAAAGTTTAATACACTCACTACTAAACCCATCTTTGGGCTTCAGTGAGCAGTTTGTACCTGCAATACAGATCCTGTACACTTTGATTCTAGACTGGTGTTCATCATTCAGGTGATATAAAATGAGACGACTGAATAAAATGACTTATTTTCACACAGGGATAGAAGCATACAGACAAAGTGAAGGGCCATAGATCAGGCAGAATATCTACAGTAAAAAAAAACACCTACTGATCCCTCTCGATATCAAATAAAAACGATGCAGAAGCAACGCTCAGTTACAGATTAGTCTGAGTCACTGTCTCCTTCGCTGTCAGCCTCCTTCACGTCCGCGCTGAACTTGTACTCCTGGTCACAGCCCATGTAGGCGTCGCTCATGAAGTACAGGGTGTAGTTGTGAACGCCCATCGCCGGGGCAACAAAGTCCAGCTTCACCTGCAGAAGCATGACAGAAAAACAGAATGAGGCCTCTTGTTTGTTTAAAGAACATGTTATGGCTGTAGAATGTGTGTGGCTCTCACTGACCTTTGCTTTCTGCTGCAGAGTCAGCCTCTTGATAGAGATAAGGCTGTTGGACTTGGGGTCTCCGATCACCACCCACCAGCCCTCCTCACGTTTCTGCAGCAACGAAAAAGAAGATTCATTAAAATAAAATAATAATAAAAACAGTCTCCCCCATCTGGTCAAGCAGCAGTTTAAATACTTGGTCATTCAAAACGTCTCCACTTTCAAATGTTATCCTATTAGACCTCTGCGAGGACCTGTCATAATAATCCCATGTATTCTTTTACGTTTTTGTAAAGTCACAGTGAATCTATCAGACCCATGAAATCATATCTCGAGTCAATTTATCCCAAATCTATAAAGAAAAAAACCTCAATGAATTCCTGAGATATCAAGTTAAAGAGAAAGGGATATACGGACAGACAACCCAAAAACATGATGCCTCAAGATTCATCTCTCAGAGGCTTACGATAATACAATGATTGCACAAAGACACTCCAGGAAATGTAAAATGCAAAATCAAAAACCAATTTACCTGTGGGAAGAGAGGTGCGATGACGGGTCCGGTGACCTCCTCCTCTCTCTCCAGCTGAACCTGGACCAGCACTGGACTGCCACTGTGAAGGAACATGGAAATAGACATCATAATCCTTGTCTAGCTGTAGTCTGTATTTTTTTCTTGTTGTCACATGATCAGTTGTAAATGTCAGGATCCACACAAACCTCTTGATGTTATCCTTCTCGGCCACCTCGTACGACAGCTCGATGTTGGGGTAGCGGTTAGAGAAGCGAGCCACGTCGGCCATCTGAGCGTCTGTGAGCTGCAGCAGAGCCGTTCTCTCCTCATCCTCCATCTCCATGATGTCAAAGATACTCTCCACACCCTGATGAGGAGCAGGGATACAGTGGTCAGTTTCAATATGATCCATGTGAAATAGTTTTGAAGCAAGAGCTGTCATTTTATTTTAGTTGTAACTTGTGTACCTTGTCTTGGCAGCGCTTGATGTGCTCTGAGGTGAAGAAGGGCAGCTGTTTGAGGTACGAGTCCTTGGACCACATGGCCTGGGTCACCATCTGGGCCAGCTCCATGGCCGCAAGCGCAGGACTGAGCCAACCGTTACTGGAGAGCACGTCCACGCAGGCCTGGATCAGACGCACCGCCTGAAACACAACGCGCACGTTAGACAGGAATCAACAAACAAAGTCTTTCTCTTTTTCAGGTAACGTGGAAAGAGTGTCGTCCCACCCACATTGCAATGAAACAATGCCAGATAAACATTTGGAACAACCATGTTATATAACTATGTTGCATCTGCTTTCTTTGAAGAAAAACAAAGAACCAAAGAGAAAGGAATATTCATAATACAGGACTTTACTTGTTGGTTTTTATGTATCCATTAACCTGGGCTACCTGTATTTGTTTAAGTGAGAAAAATATATAAATATTAAAATAAAAACCCAATATTCTGTAAATACCAATTTTCTAGGAGGGAAAAGCTATAAAAACCAGTCGATAGTAGTTTTTTTGAAAGAAAGAAAAATTTGAATTGCTAAAAAATCAAATAAGCAGGTCGGAATGTATATAAATGGAATTGGTAATTGAAAAGTTGAACTAAGCATGAGCCTGTACCTCCTGCTCAGGATCTCTCCGTGTCCGCTGCAGCTCCGGCCCGCTCAGCTGCATATCTGGAGAGAATGAGCTGGCAGCAGGCAGGTTGGTCCTTCACATGGGGGTCGTTGAAACTTGAGGTGTTCAGTTTTGTGGAAACTTCTGTGGCCAACTGGAAACAAAGACACGTTGTTACATCACAGTCAGTGTTCATGTGTTTGGTGAAAAAGGTAGCGCTAATCTTACATCTGGCTCCGTTTGTCTTACCTGTCGGAGGAGTGGAATCCTCGTGGATGTGCTGATGCGGATAATGTTGTTGGTACTACCGCCAGCCGGGTGTGCGAGATGATCTCGATTAATCCACGTGATCTGTCTTGGGCGTTAGAAACATGTCTGAACAACTCTTGCCCAAACCCACAGAACAACAAGTCAGGTTACAGGAAATCAATGAAAGGTCTATGCGGTGCCATCTATGATCAGGGATAACTATGATAGGGACGGCTTGTATCGAACCAAACCAGATGGTAGGTGTAGCCTTGATGTAGTAGTACGCAGCCGATCATGCCCAGAATTTGAGCCCGAGCCGACCGTCCATCTCGTCCTCGTATGCTGATGCCACTTGGACTGCCTCCAGGTCGCTGCCCAGCGGTGTGCCCCCCCCTACACCAGCTCAGAGGAGGTGCGTCCGACAAGCTGGACGATCGGGAATGCCTTGACGAGGGAACACAAAACTCTTAAGTTACATATCGTTTCTCATCATCTGAACCAGTTAGGGTAAAACAATATCTAACCCTCTGAACTAGGGATGCTACGATATTGGTTTTTTTGAACCGAAACCGATAACTTACTGCTTCTCAAGGACCGATACGCGCATAATAATATTAAATATTTATACCTAGTTGGCACACCGTGAAAAAAAATGAGTAGTGAGCAAGATGACATGAGCATTTACTACTTTGAACAAAACGAAGCCGAAGAACAGTTTTTGACTCTTTCAAAGGTGACCAATTTTATTGGCCGCGAAATTAGAAGCCCCCGGGCTGCCTTTGCCAGCGGCTTGCCGCTTATCAGCGCAGGCGTCTCGTAGCTTGTAACACCCATCGTAGCGATGGGCGATGCTTTCAGGGTAATCAGGTTGCGAACTATTATAGGCTCGTTGCCTTTTTCCCTCTCGTGGATTTCTGCATTGCATTGTTAATACAAGCGGAACTATCTAGCTTGAAAACTTTGAAATAGTC